GTTGTTTTAGAGATTCCTGTCACTGTGTGCTATGTTGTAGGTGGTAAATTAAGAAGGCTATTTCACTTTTAACAATATAAATATACAAACTAATTTAAAAAAATAAATATACATATTACTATGTAATTTTTAAAAATTATGAATAAATATTATTATCTAAGTTTTGAATATTTCTAAAATTGACTTGTAGATATTGTATCTGATATTCTGATTTAACTTGATTATATGTTAAAAGGCTTCAATTTTATCATTAAATAAAATTCTTTAACCTTTAAGCTCTCATCCCTTATGTAATATATATAATCTTATTGTATCAACAATAATTAAGAAAGCAGCAATAGAACAACTGATCTTCCAGAAATACCCAAATTAAACATGATTGTGCATTGTACTAGTCGCATAATTCCTTGCAACTACTAGTATGAGCTTTTAAGTTTCATATCAATGACAATAAATTCATAAAAGAAAATATGCATGGTGGACAAGTATAAAGAATGAAATTTATTATTTAAATATTTTGATGTCATAAGAAAGGATTTATTCAAAGAAAAAAAAAAGGTTTAGAGGAAAAAAAGTTCAAACTAATTGCTAAGCCATTAAAGCAAAGCTCTAGAAGCCAGTGTTTTGCTCAAAGCAATTGGTAACATCTTTAAGTTTACATCTATGCCAATTAACCTCAAAGAAATATGAGTTGTTAGGACAAAGCCCTAGAGCTAGTGTCCTGTTCAAGCATTCTTTGAATATGAACTAATGATTAGAGAAATGTTTTAATAAAAGACTAATGTATCATGTGGCATCATTGCATATTCTTATCATGTATAATAAATAATTCCATATACATAATACAAATATGATTATCTTCATAAATAAAAAATATATATTTTAAACAAACATATATGAGTCATTGCATATTTTTACAAATTCTTATTATATGTAATAAATAATTTCATATATATAATACAAATATGATTGATTATCTTCATAAATATGTAAAAAAAATATTTTAAACAAATGTTTAAATACGTACGTACATACAAAAAGCAGTGTTATTGCATATTTTTACAAATTCTTATCATATATAATAAATTTTTATCACATCAAGTGATGTCATTGCATATTTTATCATAATAAATAATTCTAGTTATACATAATACAAATATGAACAAAATTTAAAGGGCATCCATAATTTACATTAAACCAGTATATTGTACAGAAGTAGACCTTGAAGATAATATAGCGATAGTATTATTCTTGTAACAATGGTGGTTTGGCATCATAGGTAGACATTCATTTGATTGGATGTTTAAATCAATTTAATTATACAGTTTATGTACTTTTTTAAAAAAAAGAAAAAGAAGTATATAGAAAGTTTTATTAGGGTTGTAGAACTTCACTACAAAATTCTTTTTTTTTTAGAGAAGTTAGCATAATAGTGACTTTTTAATATCAAATATACCTGTACTACATTCTACTTATCTGGGACTTTATTAAGAAATTTTAAATTTATTAAAAACTTAGAAGTAATAAAATCTTAAAGTTTTTATTTTGAACTTTTTACTATAAGATTTTTCTATAAATTTTTAAATTTTTATATATTTTTATTAATGAAATTTTTTTTACTTCTAATATAAGTCTTAATTTTTACAAATAAATCATAAAAGTTGTAATAACAAAAGTTGTCATTCTTTATTTAATCTACAATTTCAATTAAGAAACTATAGGTTTAAAATTATTATTTAAAAAATTTTCAAATAATTGTAAATTTTTTTTTTAATTAAAAATTTTTTTAATTTTGTATATTTTTAGCTTATAAGTAAGTTAAATTTTTTATCTTGTAGTTTAAATATAAATTTACAAAAACATAATCCTTACGCTTAATTTTTATTTAAAAAAAAATTTAATTAAATGTGTCAAATTTTAAAAAAATTAGATCAGAAGTATTTTTATAGTAAAATTCAGGGCAAATTTGCCCTGAATTTCAAACGGTTTAAGGGATAATATTAATAAGTTTCTTACAAGAGAGTTAACAGAGCTTACTAAGACTTTTATTATATGTTAGATGTATGCTGTTTATATTTTTAAAAAATCAAGGTTTCTGTAAAGCTTAGATCACAAAAAGAATAGTTATATTGCATTTATTTTTATATCTGTTAATAAAGTTTATAGATTAGGCCATCGTTATCTATTGCATTTATACCTTTTAATATCGCTTATATTTGTTTACGAATTTTCAGGCATATATACCTAAATTTTTGGTTAAATTTGTTTTTAATAGTTCAAACTATATAAATCTATAATGTAAGCCTAGTAATATCAATACCAGCCAGACTACTTGCAAGAATCATTTTTCCAATATGGTCTTATTTTCATTTTTAAAATAACCCTGTAAATTACGACCGATTAACTCTAATAGTTACTGGGAGATAAGTTCTAATTTACTTGAATAAAGTTTCTTCAGCACTACACTAGCTTACTTCCTTTATTTTCCTTAAGCAAAATCGAAGGGAATCGCTCTTCATTATTATTAGGGTAAAATCGGGAAACACTCCTTTATTACATTTTAAAACTTGCGCTTATGTACATTTGAGTTTAATATATAACACATTTATGTGTTAATTAACACTCGCTGTGTTATTGAAAATGCTCAAAATAATAGAACTATTCCCATACGTGTTAACACATTAATGTGTACTGTAATAATTTAATTTGAGGGGTCGTTCATATGTTAAAAGTTGTGCACGAAAAGTTTTCATCTCGAATTTAATATATTATACAATAATAGAAATAGATGTTATTTATATTAAATAAGGAAAGAGACCGATCTATATACACTTTTGGGAAAGGGGTAAAATTAATAACATTCGAATCTCCAATGTCACAAATTTAGAAATTGCGACATAACCCCAATACATAAACAACACAATAAATCCGATGGGATCCTTTTAAACAAATTCTATGCATTCGTAGAACTCATTTAAAAAATTTTCATCAAATTCTATCGTTGTCGAGAAATCTTCATTCAAAAATAGGTGAAATTTCTGCCGTGTCCTAAAAAAAATAGCCACGGCAAAAAATTTTCCATCTTTGAACGAATATTTCTCGATAATTACCCGATAACATTTAATGAATTTTTTTTTTAGTTAGATAATACTAATTTTAAATTCATAAAAAAAAATTTCATTAAGTTTTTAGGTAGTTTCGAGAAATCTTCATTCAAGGCAGAAAATTTCTGCTGCGGCTATTCTTTTAATAGGAAGCAGAAATTTTTTTCAAACTTTGAACGAAGATTTTTGACAACTATTTGATAGAATTCTTTAAAGAAATTAACCAATTTTTAATATTTATTTTAGAAAAATTTTCATAGAATTTTATTAGGTAGTAATCGAGAACTTCTTTAAAGATGGGAATTTTTTACCGTGGCTATTTCCTTAGGAGGCGGCAGAAATTTCTCCTACTTTTGAATTAAAATTTCTCAACAACTACCTGATAGAATTCGATGAAAAATTTTTAAATAGCTCTACGAATGCATAGAATTTGGTTAAAAAAAAAAAATTCCGCTGAATTCTATTGTGTAGTTATCGAAAAAGTTTCTTTTAAAAATCAAAAAATTCGTAGACCGGCCAAATTTTGTCAATATTAATATTGACACAAAATAACTTTCATAGAAATTTGGGGTTTTATCGATTTCTTGTCCTACTTTGGACTCTTGCAATCGGATTAGGCCACGCAAAGTTGATTTTTCGTTTTGCATTACATGGATTTCAAAATTAGGAACGGACGGACGGATATTTTTTTTTTTAATTCAATTTACTGCAAATAGAATAATGATCACATTTGAGGTTATATTTACATAACAAGGAATCAAAAAATTGGACCGGCAGTCATATTTTTCCTGTCAGTCCTATCGGACAATTACGGGAAATTGAGTCTCCATCGGGTGATACCGGATGAAAATAGCGGGAAAAATAGATGTCAAAAATCGAACAATTGCATAATTGGGATCTAAAAAAAAAAATTTTTGAAAAATTGAAAAAATGGGACGGCGGGTAATGCAAAACGGAAATTCAACTTTGCGTGGCCTTAGGTAGCAATCGCGGAACCACCAAATTCTTGCGCCATGGCTATTTTATAGCCGTTAAAACCGTTAAAAATTACATAGCCATTAAAATCTTTAATGCGGTTTGTTAAGTTTACAGAACAGTGTACAACTATTAAAAACGGTTAAAAGAGTTTATTAAATTACATAGCCCGTTAGAAACTGCTGCGTAAAACATGATTTATTAAATATCTAGCCATTATATAACTGTTAGAAAGTATTGACATGTATCTAAGTATGAATTTATGAAACTGGTTCGATTTGATTTAAAATTAGTTTATAAAAATTCATTTTCACGTGTTTATCGTTAACAACTTTATTAAATATGAGAATCTTACCCTTATTTGTTCAAAGTGTCAAACATTCAGCTTTATTGAATGTGGAAATTTTAAATCCATTTCAATATTACAATGTTTCGGATATGTCGGATTTGGAAGAACCGATCCGAGCCTCCTCAGAGACGATCAGATTTTTACAACGCTATTTTATTTGATATTCTAAGCCAATTTAACAATTTGCTTTATTGGAATTGTCAGATATTTTCAAGAACAAGGAACCCAGTGATATTTTCGTGTTCATCACATCACATGATTAAGTGTTCGGCCCAAGTTAGGGTTAGTGCTAGAGTTAGGAGATAGGATAGGTTAGGCTAATTTTTAATGCTAGTAAACAAATGACGACGTCATTGCATGATTTCTCGAGTGTCCCGAATTGTCTGTTTATTATATTAAATGTTGAATTTGATCGGTTTAGATCTGTAAAACTCTCTACATTGTAATTTAGTGTGGAGAAATGAAATCATAATTGTTAATCGTTAATATATATCGTCACACGCAATGTAGCATAAAAAACACGAGGCCATTAAAGATTTTCATACATACTTTCTCTTTCAAACTTTGGAAAAATGTCTTCTGTAAGCTCAAAAGATTTTACTACTATACAACAACTTTTAGAACATGATAATCATAGGAATCGTAAAGCGATGCTGGATTTTATTGCTAAAGATCCTATTTATATTCCACGTTATAATGTTTCTCTTGAGTTTGAACGAGAAATTGCTTTGCAAAGATTAAAAAAGCTTGCTGATCAAAGGTTTATTTCTGTTTATAATTTTGAAAATAATCCTTTGAATATTTTTGCTGGTATTTAATCTTTCTTTATTTCATGTGATATAATAAATACTATATAATCTTTTTCTACATGTTTAATTATTGTACAGCTCATGAAATTGCCGGTATGGTCGACAATTCTATGGGCACTAAGGTAAAAACTAAATCATTTTTCATCGTTTTTCAATTTTATAAACGTATACTTAATATGTCATATGAATATTTCATATCTTTTTTCATAAGATGACCGTTCAATGGAATCTTTTTGGAGGACTGTGATCAAACTTGGAACGGAACGCCATCGTTATCTACTTGCTGGTATTGATAGTTTGCAAAATATTGGATGTTTTGCTCTTACAGAACTGGGTTATGGCAATAATGCAGTAGAAATGGAGACTACTGCTGTATATGATGAAAAAGCACGAGAATTTATTATTAGTACTCCTTCAACATTAGCCCAAAAATATTGGATTACAAATGTAATGTTATTACAATAATTAATTCATACACAACTTGCTCTCTTAGTACTCGGAATTTAATTGGCCTTCACTATATCGAGAATTCATGATAGTAAAACTAAGCTCAAAACCAAAGTTTATATACATAATTCTCTCAATATGATTCGATAAAGTGAATTTGCTAATAAAATTCTCGATATAATGTAATTTAAAATTTTCATTAATTGACCCGATCACTTCATTATAAAGAGAGTGTGTTGTATATAAAAACATATATATATATTTGTTAAATTGCGATGGCTTGAGTTATGATTCAAATTAATGTTATATTCACTTATTTTAGTCCGCGGTACATGCTAAGTGGACCGTGGTATTTGCACAAACTATAATTCGTGGTAAAAATGAAGGAGTCCATGCTATTCTAGTCAGAATTAGAGAAGAAGAGTAATTACACATTTTATTCAAATTAATGTAGTTTTTGTCAAATTTTATGGCTTTAATATTGCATTTTATTTGATAAACTTAGTATGAAAGTTTCTAAAGGTGTAGTTATTGAGGATATGGGTGTCAAATTTGAATGCAATGGCGTAGATAATGGCAAGCATTATCTTATAAATGTTCACCGTCATCTTCAATGCTGTGTAACAATTTACTAATAATTTTTTTATTCGCTCTAGGTAAACTATGGTTTAAAAATGTAAGCAGAGGATAAATTAGCTTTTCTTTTGTAAATCTCTTTTTTATTTATTATGTATTAAATTAATAGGTACGAGTGCCGGTTGAAAATTTACTCAATCGTTATTCTGATATTGATGAAAGCAATAATTTTATAAGTGGTGTTAAAAAAACTCGAGAGTTTGTATCTATTTTATTTATCAAAAGCATCAGTGATTTAAATTATCCTTTTCTAATTGTCACTTATTACTACAGTCGATTTTTAAAAGTTTCCAATCAATTACTTTCTGGAAGATTGGCTATAGCCTCTTTGAACTTGGGTGCAACTTAAGGTGCATTAAATTTTAAGAATCTTTGTATTGAACTTTTTTCATTCGTTTATTATTATTATTTTGTTATTTTGGAAGGCTTGTCTGTCTATCGCTTTCCGATATGCTAATTCTAGGTTGGCAGTTGGTCCTACTGGAAAGAGGTAAAAGCTTTATATTAATACATATTATGTAAATATTTGATATTTAATCGATCTATAATTTTTTTGTTTTAAAGTGATACGCCAATTTTAACCTATCAACTTCAACAACGTGCCTTGATTCCGCTTCTGGCTACAACCATTGCTTTGAATATTGGACTTAATTACTGTAAAGTTATGTTATTTATTTGAAACCTTGCATTTATTTTATTTATTTTAGTTGTCATTAACAAATATACTTTGCAATTTGCATGAATCACCAAATGAAAACCATAGACAGAAAAGGATCATAATGAAGTTGTTAGGCTTTGTTGTATGATAAAGCCTTTGGTGACATGGAATTTTGAACGTGTGGCTACTACTTGTAGGGAAAGATGCGGTGGACAAGGATATTTGAGTATTAATAGATTTGGTAGCTTCATTGGATTCGCACATGCTGGTATGACAGCTGAGGGAGATAATAGTGTTTTAATGCAAAAAGGTATGCAAAATTTCAGATATAGTTCATTTATCTTGTAAGATGAAAATTTTCTTTTTAACGTAATTTATATCAAAATTTAGTTTCTAAGGAATTATTAGATGATGTCAAATCTGGTGCTCTCATGCTACCACGCATCTCTGATGTCGAAAATGCGCAAAGATGGGATATAAGAAGTTTAGACAATCAATTAAAATTATTTAATCTAAGGGAACAAGGATTAATCAAAGAAGTAATTATCATTCGAATTATTCTTTAATAATAATCACTAGGAAATGTGCATTATTAATATCCGTGATGGTCAATGCTAACTAATTGAAAAGCGTTTAATTATCCGTTTGGCAAAAGAAAAATTTATATCACATATAACATCCTACGCTTCGTTCCGGACGATTAATAACTAATTTATTAATCACTTCTGTTTGAAATAATGCTAATTGGCTAAAGGCGTCGAATAATTAGTTCTGCTTTGCTCCGGATAATGACCTTATTTACGCGTATAAAAATCAACAACACATTAATATATATATATATTATAATCCAAAGTTAGGTACCAATATTGCCACCAATACTAGTAAGGGGTCATCCATTTTCGAAGTTTGGATGTTACAGGAATCAGATATAGTCCAGGCATTAGCTAAAGCACATGGTCATAGGATAGTATTAGAACAAGTTGTTCATACACTTCAAAAACTTAAAGGCGGTTCCCAGTAAGTTGCTTACTTATTTGTATTTGTTCAACATTAACTTGTCATTATATATAACTATGTATATTCAATATAATAATTTCTTTTATTAAAAAATTAGCTGGATAATTCACAATATAGGCCGTCTTTATGCCCTTAACATAATTGACTCAGATCTTGCATGGTACATCACAAACAATCTAATTTCAGTTGAATCTGCATCAATGGTACAATCATTGATTCGAGAAATAGTTGCAGAATTGGCACTATTAAGTTCGGAAATTATTGATTCGCTGGGAGTTGATCCACGCGTTTTGTATGCACCTATTGCTGACCAATGGGCTAAATTTAATGAGACTGATAATCACGGTAATTATTCTTTTTATCAAAATTTTGCATGGACTCGCATAAAAAATTATGAATATTAATGAAAACTGGTTTATTTGTTAGGCGAAATACTAAGTGACTTTAGAACTGGATTGGGATCAAAATTATAAAAAAAAAGCTTGCACACTAGATTAACAGGATCTATTAATGTCCGGAGCAAATTAAACAGAATTACATAATACTGTACAATATAGTATTATTAAATATTTAGCTAATATAAATATAATATTATTTAATATATTTAAACATATTAAAAGCAAATATTATATATATCATATATTAAAATTAATTAAAAAATTTTATACATATTTACTGCAAATTCAGAATAAAATTAAAAGTCAGAAGCGGTTATTATTCGAGATTAGCAAAACTATTACATATTCTTATTTCAAATACTTAATAATGCTTAAGATTTATTTTACACCAAAAATTTACTTTTTTTTGCTTAAATTACTTATGGTCGTTGTATGTGATTAACTATATTAAATAATATTTGACATTACTTTATATATGTTGTGCCAAATGTTGGGTATTTTACCACTGGGTTTCAGAATTCATATGATCTAAAAGCAATTTTGATTGGATATAGATCCAAATAGTTAATCTTAAATGACGTGCTAATTGGTAGAATATTTACTTATAAATTACCTGCATATACTTTAACTGCCATAAATGCAAGAAATAAGATATAGAGTCGATAGTAATAAAATATTTAATAAGTTTTGCAAATAAAGTGTTAAGAATTATCATTAATTTTACAAACCCATCTTTCTTGATTTATAAACAAGCTCATTATCTATTTACCTTGCATAGTGCAGCACTAAAATTTCAAATCGGTTATATCAAAATAGCATACCTTATTTCATGTAATCTAACCACCCAAGTGTAATTATTCATATGTTTAAAATAAAGTATGTGCTACTTATGTGCAAATATTTAATATTTTCCTTTAATCAACTAAAATTATATTTTAATAAGATCAATTAAAGTTATATGACTAAGTGGTGATTGTATTCCAGTAAAGTTTTGTATTAATGTTTTGCAATTTTCTTTTCTATCAAAATTCAATATCAAATTAAAATTAAATAATTATCCAACTAATCAAGCATGTAGAATTAACGATTGTTTGCCTGAATTTCAGGTTCGAAATTATTTCTTCATTGGTACTTCTCTTTGATATGAAATACCTGGTGTCTAAAATTTCCAAATTTTTAGCGTATATGATAATTTCTGCGAGGCTTTGGAAATAACATCATTATAAATGTAGCTGTTTCTTACTTTGCACATAATCTAATGCTAAGAAATTACAATGATTAAATTCGTTACTGATATTAATGGAAATTTGTCCTTAAAATTTGTGAAATTCATTACTTATAAGCATCTAAATTATTTCCTTTAGCAAATAGTTGTTTTGTTGCTGTAACTATTTTCGTGGTTAACGAAATTAATTATGGTGGCTTATTCTGAAATTTTGACCTATTTTATTATGAAAGTTTTAAAGTTCTTGGGTGTTTTTTTTTTTTGCAATAATTTGATAAAAGCTGTAATTGTTAATAAAAGTGTGTAAGTGTGTTTAGTAAATTTTATAGATCTAAATAGACCTTAAATTTTAGTTACGGCTCCCACATCAATTTTTACAGTGACAAATAGTGCGCTCTATTAAACTAATTTGGAATCCCTAGCCGGATATGCATCAAACAGTCTTTTATAATTTTAAATATGAAATATTTTTATAATATTGTGCTATATTATTTTACAAATAGTATAAACAACGGAAATTTTTCAATTACTAAAAATTATGCCAGAATTTTTTTAACCTTCAGCATTTTACAGTAGATTTTGTGCATTGTTGAATTTATTGAATTATTTGAATTCATTATATATAAATATATTGAACAGTGCAACTATTTGTGAAGCACATATATAAATTTTCTTGATATAGTTAATTTGCTAGTAATAGTGAATTTTTAACAATTTTACTAATAGAATCGATCATTTAATTATAATGAAAGTAATTAATATACATATATATATATTTTCTGTTTTTCGTTTGCCACAATTTATTCGTACGCAAGAGTTTTACAGAATACATAACGAAATAAGAATTTAATCATTCACCCGAAAAAACCTTTTGTTATTTCTTAATATTTAACATCAGTCACTATTTTTATCAAAATGCTTGATTACTATTACAAATAAGCAATCACTTCAGACACTCTGCATCACATAACCTCTACACTATTCCAATGGATACAGTGCCTGCAGACCGGCCTATCGCCACCAAAAATTCACCTCATGTGATTATTGACGAACAAAAGACCATAATTTAGTGTAACGTAACTCGATCAATACAAACGTCTTTTTTCAAAATTTGCATAAGAAACCGCCTTTCGTGCACTAACAAAAAATAAATACACCGGTCCTATATCAAGATCACGGGGTATTTATCAAAAATATCTGATATCCTGATTCGTATGTGTACAAACGGAAACTTTGTTTCCACCAATGCCCAGCTACTCAGGATATTTTTATTACATAACAACTCCTAACCTAGATGCTAACCTATCATAAACGAACTTAAAAGAATTTTATCGTTGGTCATGTGGGGTGGATTTCATGTCGGGTTGAAAAATCTTATATTCGAAAATTTAACGACACATTCATAACTTGATCATTTGATAATTTTTTATGGGAAAATTTTCTTGCAAAAGTTTATCGTTTAAGGAATAATCTATTTAAATTTTAAAAAAATAATTATGTTTTATCCTTTTTCTTTAAACATATGTGTATTTTCTTATATTTACTTGCATGAATTTTTAGTGAATTATATCGAGAAATAGGAACGATTACTTTTTTTGGGCAATTAAGGATAAACTATTTTAAAGTGTATTATAGTCAGTGTTTAAAATTCGATTTTGTTTCAATATGCGGAAAGCTTGAAAATTTTTGTAATCATAATAAAAATTTAACAAAAATTCAGTGTGACATGTTTGACACATAATAAAATCCGCAAATTCAAAGAATATTTTACTTGCGGAATTAATTTTCAATCTGCGCACCGCAGATTCCG